TAGGCTGGGTGCTCAGCTGGTGTAAAACAATGCAGTTCCATTGAAGTCAATGGAGCTATACCAATTTACACCAGCTGAATATCTGGCTCAGTGTTTGTTTAAGGCATACATTGATGTGCTCATATTTCCTTTGTAGGAGAGACCACAATGGCATAGTGTCTGGAATAGTCTGACCCCTCCGGGGCTACAAAGTTACATATTAACCCAAGTGAAGCCTTGGGTAAATATTTGCACTTATGTTAAGAAGCCAGCACCACTAGAACCTAAATCCTCTAATGCACGGTAGTTTAATTTCACTTTAATCAGCATAGTTTTATTGACTTCCATGAGAATCTGGCCCTCTTATGCTTTCATATCTAAGCTCCCTCAATTTCTTTCAAATGGGCCATTTCAAGGCAGTTTCCATCTACCATCTGGTGAAAATTGCCTAGGTAATAATTTCTTATTTGTGTGAGGTCCCAGTTTATCATGTTAAATGATAGCACACAGCAGGACTGTACAATTTTAAGAAAGGAAGCGAAGAGCACTGTATCCAACTTAAACTTCGGGGCAATTTTATGTTATTACTTAAATTAGAATTTGTCAGTCTATAGGAGCCAACCCCAGTAGTCTTGTGAAATACAGCATGGTATCTCTAACGCTTACAACCATCATGGATGTCTCTGTTATATTTCATCTAAAAAGATGGCATCTCCAACACTGCTGTTCTGTTCTCGCTAATGCCATATTTGTTCATTATTGACTCAGCAATAAAACAGCAAAATGACTTTTTACAGCACACTGAGATTTTCTTGGAGGTCTCCCATACAACTACTAACTAAACTCAACTCAGCTTAGCTTCTGAAATCTGATGAGATCACAGCCTCAGGTGGTCATGGCTTCTGAAATTCAAGCATTCACAGAACACGGATTCTGAGGCTTCTAAAGTGTGTATCTTTAAGCCAAACTTTCATCCTCACTTTTTGCAGCATGACTGAGGCTCATAGCAAAACCTAGGGTACTAAAGCTGGGATTTCTATGCGAGGAAGTGCCTAAATCCCATTCATTTTAATGGAGTCGGGTGCCTAACTCTCTTAAGCCCCTTTGAAAATCCCAACCAGAATGTGCATTAAACTTCTAATAAAAGCATGATATGTAAAAGTTATCGTCATTCTATAACAAACACTCCATACATCATTTATCCTTATACTATAGTCCTTACAGGTATTTATTAAATATTCATAAAATTTGGGAATAATATACACATACACACACTGCTAGCTAATACTTGTACTTACATCTTCCACTGTTAACTGTTGGCAAAAAAAAAACCAAACAATATGTTTAGCAATTAAATAATTAACATATATACAATCAAATTATCCATAATAAACATACACAAGTTTCTATCTATCAGACAAAAATTCAGCATAAAACACTTTCTAAGTCTATTTTTCAAGTTTTAATAGAGAGTGATCTTGTGCTCTTGAAGGTGAGCGACTGAAGCATTAGTTTAACGCTAGCATTAGAACTATGTTAACGATGAATTTATTGCTCATGAAAATGAGAAATTGTCAACACTGTGGGTACGTCTTCACTACCCGCCGTATCGGCGGGTAGCAATCGATTTATCCGGGATTGATATATTGCGTCTCGTTAAGACGCGATATATTGATCCCCAAACGCGCTCACCATCAACTCCGGAACTCCACCAGAGCGAGCGGCGGTAGCGCAGTCGACGGGGGAGCCGCGGCCGATCCCGCACCATGTGGACCCCAGGTAATTCGATCCAAGATACTTCGAATTCAGCTACGCTATTCGCGTAGCTGAAGTTGCGTACCTTGGAACCATTCCCCGCCCCCCGCAGTGTAGACCAGCCCCCAGGGTTAAGCACCACTTGTGAAAGTGAAGTCTGCAATAGCACCACATTGGTCAGGCAACCCGAGCAGTATGCAATTCAATGCTTCAAGCTGAAATCACAATTAAGTACAGTTACTGGTATGAAGACTTTCAGCAACACTGCAGGGGCACAGGCTATATTGGCTTGGGACTCAGAGACACATTCCAAGACTTTCATGAGTGTATTAACCATTAACAGGTAAAGAAAAAAGTATCTAAGAGTGACATTTGAATCAACAGAAGACCCTGTCTACACTGGGATCAGAACTATGCTTGCTACAACTGCATCTCTCACAGCCAGAGCCATAAAACCAAAGATGTAGCAAATGGTATATTTCTCTTTGGGCTAATTAACATGTAAGCTTATTTGTTGATTATCATATTTATAGTTTTAGAATCTATGAATGGTACGTTATATGACTTCACTTTCCTCCTTCTCCTCTCCCCTTTCCCACACAAAGAGAGGACAGTCTAGTTACAAATAAGAAACTTAGGCCCCAGTCTAGCAAAGTACTTAAACTTCTACTGGGCTGAGCGTATACAGGACTTTGCAGAAGGTGCTCAACACTTTGCAGAATTAAGCTCTTAATACTTGAAAATTACATAGTTGATTACATACTATTATCATTGTATTCTGTGGTGGCACACACCAATATTTAATCAGACATGAGAAGCAGTGGATTGCTGTGAGGGAAGGGGGGGAACTGCATCTGGTACATTAGGAAGATTGATTTAGACTAAAATCAAGGCAATTTTCGTCACCTTGAAGAGAGTTAAAAATAGAATGAAAGCATTCATCTTAGCTTGTCTTCTCCTTCCAGCAAGCAACAAACATGACTGCACATCTGCGATCTGAAATCCGTGCCAAAGGATGAAAGTCTGGAGGCACCTGCACTGATTGCTACACTGATGGAATTCATTTAATCTCTAGCTAAAACATGACATGACTAAACTGATCTGCTGCCTTGTCCTGTTCAAAACAAACACCCTAGCAAAGGGGCTCACCTGAACAGCTTTAAGCCTTCCCTCACATACCCGCATGTATGTATAAAGCCATTCTTTGGGCCAGATTCTCAGCTGGTGTAAATCAGTGTCGCTTCATTAAAGTTGATAGCCCTATTCCAATTTATAGCAGCAAAGGATATGGCCCACTGCTACTGCAGTAAGTATTATTATATGTCTATGGCAAAACTAGTGTCTATCACATTACTCATGTTACTATATAGCTAAACCTTTTGAAATTTGAAAGATTTCAACTCAGTGTTGCATACCAAACTTATCAGCTCATATAATGAGCCATGGCTTGGCCAGTTTGTTACAACGGCCAGTTTGTTAACCCCAGGAAAATTGAGAACAAATGTTTGCTTTCCCTAAGGGCAGAGCTGGGGTCAAAAGAACTGAAACCCCATTAACATACATCATCCTGGATGTTCAAAGCTTGTGATGCAAATGAAAGTAGGTTCACGGTTCAATGGTCAAAAGCAAAGAAAAAAAGATAAACGTCACCTTTATTTTATTTTATTTTAAAAGCTATCACAGCACATGAAACAATTTTATCCACCACATAAATATAAAATTTTTATTACTGGTGTTCTTTATGTATGCTTCTTAAAGATATAGGACCAGATTCACCAGCATGTTCTAAATGTTTTGTACCATTCCATTGACCCAAAGCAGTGACCGACCAATTATAGATTCATAAATTACTCTAGGTTTATGGCTGTATTACATCACTGAATGGTGCAAAGCAACCACAATGTATCAGTGGACCTGGCCACAGTTTCTTTATCTTTAGCTAGAGGCCTACCTCTATTGGCGTGGAAATAAAGTACTCCTAGAGATGTCTAGAGCTGCTAGCTCTACAAAGACACACTTAACATCCATGGGCCATATTAACTCACTGGGTTCTCTCAGCTTCCATGGATAGTCTGGCATTTGGCAGTTTACACACAATCTTCTCTCCTGTCAACCAGCACAATCCCTATTGGGCATAACTGAGCAGGAAAGAGGCAGTGCCAGGCCAATATGTATTTGCTGATTCAGCAAATCTTCCAGGCAGCCTCTGACAGCAAGGCTCCTAGAGAGCCCCACAAGCATTTAAAGCTGCCCTCTTCCACTGAAAACCATAAAGAAGGCTCCCGCTCACCTCCAGAGTAAATCTTACTCCACAGCAGCTATCTATGTCAATAGAAGAGCATTGTCGTTTGTACCCTCTGTGCCTATGTGCGCATATCTGGCCCCATGTATGCAAGTTCTGGAGGGAAAATTCTATTATATTCAACATGTATCACTGTAAACTCCTCAAGGCAGAGATTACAGGCCAGCTCTTCAGTTGGCATAAACCAGAGTAGCTTCATTGGTTTCAACATAGTTATACAGATTTACATCAACTGAGGATCTGATTTCATGTCTCTGTCTTGTCCAGCATCAAGTTCACTGTGGATACTTAAATAATAATCTAGATAATCATCTGGAGAAACCTCATCAGAAACTAAATACATGGGGAGGGTCTGTTATGAGGAAGGGGCAGAAGGGGCTCAGCAACTTCACTCAGATTTTTCTCCTCATTCAAAATGAATGGACAGACTGGGGGTGCCTTCTACACAGTGTATTTGCTGTCTCACCCTTTTCACCTCTGACACCCTCAGGTTTGAGCTTCATTTAAGATAAAATAAAAGGTCTTTACCCCCCAAGGCTGCAGAGAAAAGCTTGAAGATGTGGACCATAAAGGTTCAAAAACAAGAAATCAAATTTTTACAAAAGTATTATTTTTGAAAATCTCTTGATTTTTAATCCAATGTCATGTGTGTGTGTGTGTGTGTGTGTGTGTGTGTGTGTGTGTGTGTGTGTGTGTGTG